TTATACTTGGTATGAAAATCACAAAAACATTTGTTGGATATGCCTTGTCTCAAGGTCATTATGTTGATAAAATACTTGAAAATTTTAATAAACATGATGACTGTTTTGCTACGACTTCTATCGATGCTAATCTTCATTTAATGAAGAACTTAGGGGAATGTATATCACAATTAGAGTACTCCCGAATAATTGGAAGCTTAATGTATCTTATGAACTGCACACGTCCTGATATTGCCTATGCAGTTAGCAAATTGAGTAAATACAGGAGCAAATTAGGGGAAGACCATTGGACAACAATAACAAGGGTACTTAGATATCTAAGATATACATGTGACTATGGTCTAAGCTATCATAGATATCCAGCAATATTAGAAGGATACAATGACGCAAATTAGATATCTAACACTATAGACTCTAAGTCTACTAATGGCTATGTCTTTACCTTGAAAGATGCAGCAGTTTCTTGGAAATCGTCCAAGCAAACATGCATTGCAAGATCCACAATGGAATTTGAGTTTATCGCTTTAGATAAAGTAAGGGAAGAAACAGAATGGCATCGTCACTTCCTAGAAGACATTCCAATGTGGCCAAAACCTATGTCAGCTATTTGTATTTATTGTGATAGTCAAGCAACCATGGCTAGGGCACAAAATAATATGTACAACGGTAAGTCTCGACATATTCGACGTAGACACAATACCATTAGGAAAATGCTCTCAAATGGAGTTATATCCATTGAATACATAAAAAGATAATATTACGGATCCGTTAACAAAAGATTTGACTAGAAAGCAGGTTGTGAGATCATCGAGGGAAATAGGACTAAAGCCTATTACGTAAGAGTCACCTTAGTGGCAACCCAACCTAGCTGATTGGAGATCCTAAGATCTAGGTTCAAAAGGACAATCGAATTAAGAATGACTCAAGAAGATTACTAAAGAGACAATCTCCTACCTATTTCTATGATGACATAGTGATGCTTGCAATGATAACCAGGATAAGTTTTTGCTTTTAATGATTCTCATAACTTGGAAATCCAAGTTGGGTATAGCAGGATACTCTTAATGAGAATCACTTATATGAGTGTAAACTGGACCAGTTCTACGAGAATTGAAAAAGGCTGAATTTTCTAGAGCACTCATGAAAACCAGGAATTGTCCAGGGCCAAAATGGGCACAACCAATAGAACCAAGTTGTGTATGGAAATAAAACTATGTGAAAGGTTGTTGTCTTGGTTTACACCAAAGACAGAACAGTTCAAGGCATTATGTCCACTGATTTGTTAGTAAATCTGATAATCTTTTACAAGGGAAGGTTCAAGGCCAAAAGCTATCAATCCTTTGCAGGATATTTCCAGTTTATTACTCTTTATGTCTGCATATTGTTGCATGTTCTTTTCTTCAATTTTATTCATATGGGGGATTGTTGAAGAAAAATGGTTTTAAACCATTAATATTTTGAGCATTAATTAATATAAGACCCACATATTATTTTAGGTGGGTCAATGTAGCATTTTGTTTCTTGTTTTATGGTGAACAAGAGTATGTTGTACAGTAGTTAAAACCATTAATGAGTGAATGAGAAATCAACTCATGAACATAAGTTTTGTAAGGAGAGGAGTTGTGGACCGAGGTAGGCTCAATCCAAAACACACAGGCGCGGGTGTGGGTTGGGTTGGGTTGGGTTGGCACTTATAATTTTTGGAGAAACCATTATTTGAAAAAAAAAGAAAAAAAAAGAAACCGAATTTCAGTTTTCAAACCTTGGTCTCCAACGATCACCTCTCTTGACCGAACAGTCACATAGGTGATTATTGCTTGCTACGGCTATTGCGTATTTAATGCAAATCAAGCTCTCATTTTAGAAGGAGAAAAAAACATAGATTGGATCCTAGCTTTTTCGTCTTCTTGTGACAATGTACATCATCATCTTCATCTTCATTTTTTGTTATTTTTGTTGAGAGAGTGCTTAACACAAATTTGCTTCACAGTACACACAGATTATAGTACTACTTTTGTGTGTAGGTGATTGTTGTATCTTGGAGACATGACGTCCGTAAATCTCAAGCACTAGTGGAGAGGGCGAATTTTTGTCTTAAAGACACACAGTGTCCAAACATTGGCCTCAATCACACCTCTATTAATTATTTTGGTTTTAGTTCACAGTATTTATAAGTATCTTTTGTTACTTGGTTTTAGTTTATTTATTGATTATTGAATTTCTCTTTGATATTTAATTAATAAATTAATTTACCGGGAAACTATATTTCAACAAGGAATACAATAAATTTTTTTTTTGTCCTTTTTTTTTTTGGGGGGGGGGGGAGCCATACTACGAGGAATTAGAACAATCAAGAAACAAGCAAAGCATCAAGAAACAATCCCTTATAATCACGAACAATTACCCCAACACCAGTTAAACCATCGCCACGACTGTAATGGAACAATCGGCGGCCCTTGCACTCTGTTCCGAACCATAACCATCTCTTAATAGCCACATCAAGCACCGACCGCCTCCAACCATTGAATACCACCTGATTTCGGTTGGTCCACAAGACAATATCTTATTTGTTAAAAGTTTTATTGTTATATTTTTAAAAATAAAATTAAACACTTAATGAATATCCTTTTAGAATCAAAATATTCATCTCAAAAATTAAACATTTCGGCACAAATTGATCTTGTCCTTAAAAATATATTTATTAATGATATTTTCAAAAAATATCCAAAAGAGTCATTTTTTAAAAAACTTTTCTTTTTTTTGGTACATCGGAAAAAACTTTTCTGAACAATCTTTTGAAGATGACTCACATGATCACACTGAAATTGTTCTCCAAATTTTTTATCAACGAAATTTTTTATTTAAAAAAAAAAAAAAAAAAAAAATTGGTCCCAAATATCACTTACATATGTTAATAGTGAGTTGGGGCTTAATTTGGAGCCAACCCATTGTTGAAAGCCCATTTAGATCAGTGCTTCTTGGATTGGGTCAACATTAATTGTATAGAGTCAAGAATGTAAACTGTAAAAACCTTATACCACACCCAAACCGATATTCCCACATTTAATTTTAGATCTTTGTGTCTTTGTTTATGATTTAATGGATTGTTATAAAATGTTGTGATGTTGGTTATGATATTATTTTGATATGGTTTAAGAATTATTTATATATATATATATATATTTTAAAAAAAATTATGACTCTCATAATATTGAATTATATGATTTATGAGATATACTATAACTTTCATTTAGCGTATAGAGTAGTTCTAAATACTCACAAATTAGACTCTTAAATTGACTCATAATAATGTGATAAGAGAAATGAACCCTACATTATATATGACAAATGAAAGGGTAAATTACACTTTAACCCTATGTGGTTTACCCAAAACACACGGAGTCTCCCTGTAATTTTATTTGTAACACTTAAACCCCTGAATTTTATACCAGAGTGTAATTTTGGATGGACGAAATAAAAGTTGTAAAAGTCTAAATTACCCTTATTTTTTTCTCTAATTTTCTTCTTAATGCCATTACAAATCAAAATATTATCTCATTTTTCCTTAATTTTTTTATATTCTTTTTCTCTTCTTCTTCTTCTCTCATTTCTTTCTCATCCCATAGCAAACCACACACCTCTCTTACCATCATCAAATACATCTCTCCCTCTCTAGAATTTAGACCCAAACAAACACTTATATATCTCTCTCTAGAATTTAGACCCAAACAAATAGTCCATAGCTGCAAACACTTACCAAGCTCATCATATCTCTTTCACTCAACCAACATCGACCACCTTTTTCTCTCACAGCACCCATAATGGTAGCTAGCACTACAATTTGGGTCTTGGCTTAGTTAATTGGATATGTCTATGTATATATTGTATGTGTGTCTATAGTGATAAAGAGTAGATGAAGGATGATAGTGGTTGCCACGGTAGAGAGAACGTGAGAGACTACAATGGAAGCCCATGGTTTCAATGATGTGGTCTTAGGCTATTTTAAGAAATGAGGGAGAATGACACAATAACAATGAAAGGAAGCATATGACGGTGGATAGAGGAGTAGAAGTGAAAGAGGTTGAGCTTGGCTAGATTAATTTTAATTTTTAGGTTAACTATTTTAGTTAAGAGAATGATAGACATATAGATTTCAGAAAAATAATGAAACAAAAATGAAAGTGAAAGATGGAGAAATGAAGGAGATAAGCTAGAGAGAGAGAGGGGAAGCATTTTAGAGAGAGACCCAACTTCAATGGTTTTCAAAAAAATTGGAAAGAAAAAGAAATTAAGGAACTATCAAGTGTGGTTAAAAGTGAAAAATTTTGATTTTATGATCATGCAATATATTCTCTGTTAAAATAAACGATTTCGTCTAAAATTATACCCTAATATAAAAGTTCACGAGACTTAAATATTATAAATAAAACTATAGAAAAGCTTCATATTTTTTTGAGTAAGATTGAAATGTAATTTACCCCAAATGAAAAGTTGACATGAATATGAGAGATATTTTTTTTGGTCTTGCCACTAGCCCCGTTTGGTGTAACTGTTAAAACAGCTTATAGATTATAGCTTAACAGATTATAGATTATGACTTTAATTAGAAGTTGTTAATCTGTTTGGTGTAGCTGTTGGATTGTAGATTTAAGTTGCTGAGTAGTGTTTGTTAAATAAGCTGTGAAATAGCTTTTTCAATTAATTTTTATTTTTTGTTTGTTTACATTTCTTATAAAAAATAATAATAATAATCTATAGTCTATTTGAGTTTTTTTTCTATTTTTAAAAAAATAAAAAATAAAAAAATTTAAGAGTATAATCATAAATTAACATGTCCACAGCAGAAGCTGATAAAGCAAGGGGTGAGCAGCTTCTCAGAATCAACTTTTTTGAGTTAAAATAAACTGTTAGAATCAGAAGCTGTTTGAAATAAATTTAACCAAACAATCCAAAATAACTTTTTTAAAGATAAAAGCCATAAGTTAACTCTGAAAAGCTGAAACAAATTCTTTCTAGTTTGCAGTTCGTTACAAACAAACTCACAGCGATTATCAACGGTTAACGAACTCACAAATTCTGCAATGGAATCAAAACCGCCCCGGCCGCCGCCGCCGCCGCAGCGATCATCAATCCTCGGCCGTCTGATCAAAATGGACACCGCCGTCTCTCTCCACCTCCACACCACCGCCCAACCCCTCCTCCCCCGCTCTCTCCTCAAAACCCTAGAAATCTCCGGCGACGGCCGCCTCTTCTTCCCCCTCACCATCTCCCTCCTTCTCTCTCCTCTCTCCACCACCACCACCTCCACCTCCACCTCCTCCCCTCTCCTCTTCTCCCTCCTCGCCGACCTCCTCATCGGCGGCCTCCTCGACCTCCTCTTCGTCGGCCTCATCAAGCACCTCGTCCGCCGCCCTCGGCCCGTCTACAACAAAGACATGTTCTTGACCTTCTCCGTCGACCACTGGTCCTTCCCCAGCGGCCACTCCTCTAGGGTTTGCTTCGTCGCCTCATTTCTTTGCCTCTCCTCTGCCCTAATTGGCCAGGCCATTACTCAATTGAGGTCTTCCAGATTCGAATTCGTTGATAAATTGTTCAATTTGGTCGATTTCTATGACGGTAAGGCTGTAGATTTCGTTGTTTTGGTTGTTTCTTTGTGGGCTGTTGCGACATCGGTTTCTAGGGTTTTGCTTGGTCGGCATTTCGTTTGTGATGTTATTGCTGGTGCTTGTTTGGGTGTTGTGGAAGCTCTACTTGTGTTTCACTTTCTCAATTATTCAATTCTGGTTTCAAAGTTTTTGTGATGAAAACTGTAGGTGTCTTTTTGGGAAATTATGCCATTGTTTAATTTTCTTGGAAAATTGATGACACAGTTACTGTATCATGGAAAATATTTCACAAATATTGTTGACCAAGATGCTGTACCATGTAATTGTACCATTTTTGTTTGGAATTTTGTAATAAATGTGGGGGTGGTGGTAACAAGTTTCTAACAACTATCAACTATCAGTTGTTTATGTAAGGTTTACATTTTGCTTGACTGATCAATCTATGCTATATGTACTTTAGTCTTCAGACTGAAACTAGTTTTCGGAAAATTTGAATCTTTACCAATTGAATGCAAACTCAAGCGAGTGCTGTTAGCAGTTTTTTTTTTTTTTTTTTTTTTTTTTTTGGAATTTTGGAATTTTGGAATGTGTCAACAACAATCTATTAGTATTTGTTTGCTGATTATTTTATTTGCCTGTACCTAATTAGTTGTGATTTGTATATCTAATGCTTCAAAGCAGTAGCATCAAGTGACATTTTAAGTTTGCATTTGGATTTATGGATTAATAATGTATGGTTTGTTCCTTCTAATTGTGTTTGATAACTTACATTTAGATGTCATATCAAAGAGATAGATGGAAAGATTTATATGACTCTTGAGTGGATTTCAAATGACAACGTTGAAAGAGTATTTCAAATCTGTTGCAAGAAGGATTCTCACTATACCAAAATCGTAATAAAACACCTCTGCTTAAATCCTTGTTCTTGGTCTTAAAACTAATTCCAATGCCTTACTTTCCCATGCATTTGCAAATTTAAGGCCAAAAACCGTTAATTTGAAATCTTTCTATTGAAATGCAGCCTTAGGCATTAGCTGCCTCATGTTCTTAAGTTTGTTTTCTTAAATTTACAATTGGAGGGTATTTAGATAATCAACTTTGCTAAATGATATGCTCGCTACACTTATGTTGGATGAATGAGTAATGGCTATTAAATCATGCACATCGTTAGTGGCCTGTTGGTTGGCTTTGGTTGAGATTTGAGCTCTACAAAACATTTGTGGACACAGGTCAGCGTTTTCGAAACTTGGGGTATTGAATTATTGGGTACTGGTTACTTATATAGTTTGTTTAAAATAATTAAGTAAAGGGGAGAGATTATGCACATCTCAAATTATTGATCCTTTAATGTTGATGTTTTCCATCTTGATCAAGAGAATTTGTTTCACAGTAGCATTAGTGGTCTGTTTGTTATATCTGATCATTTGTTTTGGCGAGGAGAAGTGCATCTATCTGATCATTTTCTTTTTTAACTTCAGCCAACTTGTCAATGAGGGACACGTTTGGTTCTAGTGGTTCTGTAATTTCAGGTTCTGTTCATATTGCTTCTTTATGACTGGTATTGGGTGGATAATATTTCTATTACATTTTGATTGTCTATGGGTGATATAATTTCTATTATCTTACCACGGCCGGTGGCCACATGCTATGTGTGTGTGGGAATTTGTATGGGTGTCTGGTTCTTGTTGTGTATAGATGTTAGTAGGACATCAGAAATTTAGAATAAGGCTGAGTAATTACGTTCTTTAGTCCTTTAATCTTAGGTTAAATGTGGATTCTACATAAACTGATTTGCAAGAGGTCAGTTCTCAAGCTTGCTTTCCATTGCATGTAACGTAGGGACAAATTTTGGATGCCATCTCCTGCAGTTTTGAGTTTAACTATGTATGTATGTTTCTTTAGTTTGTTGGATACTTAACGTTTGCAGAATGTCTAAGTATTTATGCTCTGTAAGCATAAACACCCATAGCTATGTTGTAGCATCCCCAGCTAACCAACATATATGTCCTCTATCTGTTGCTTGACTTGGTGACTTTTCCCAAGAGTTGGAAAATATTTAGAACCTTTTTTTTTTTATTGTATTTTTTCTTTTCCTTTTCCTTTTCCTTTTTAATGTTGCCTTTTGTCTACTTGCATATTTTATTTGTGCAAGTGGATATGAAATTATCAGTATCACAAATCTACCAATAATTTGCTTATAGACTTTGGACCTATACATATATTAAGATTTTTGCTCACGAAAACTTATACTTTCCTAATCTATTTTTCATTGAGGGATGCAATTTTCAGAAGCAAAGAAATGAATTATTCACCATGACTAGGTTTCGTCCTTCCTCTTCTTTGGCACATTATTTTGTTGGAATTGCATTCACAGAATCATTACTGCATCAAGGCTCAATGATGCGGAGACATGTTTAAAACTTTTCACTGGAAAGACATGCTTAGATGCCTGGAGATATGCATGATGAAATTAACGTAGTAGTAGGAAAAAGGGACTAGATATCGTTCTAGGAGACGAGGCTGTTGAATCAACTAAAGAATCCACAACCACTTGTATTGTGGTTTCCTATTATGTCTTAAAAGTGACACATAATAGGAAACCAAAAGAAACTAAAGTACTATATTATTTTAGGCTAGTTTATAATAACTGGATCAAGCTATACTTTCAAGATAACAAAAAATAAAATATGTAACCTTGACTCTACAAAGTCATGTCCTACATCAGAAATGCCTTGCCAATGAGGATTATGCAAGTGCATGATTAAGCACATAGTTAGCTGTCATATTGTTGATAATTAAATTGTGTTCACTTTGCTTTGTTGCTTTACAAGTCAAAACATATTTTTTTTTTTTGAAAAAAAAGAAGAAAAAAACAGCACACTTAACCACCCAAATGCGTACAAACAAGCAAAACACACCTACATATGCATTTTCTTGCTATGTAGCAGGACTTTTCATTTCATTTTCTCTCCCGCAATTTGTTACGCAGAGTTTATTTTTCTTGGAATTTTTTTTTTCTTTTCATGCATGTACTTGTTTGTTTATTTATTTATTTCCATGGAAGATTAGTGGAGTGTGGTGGTTTAGAATGCACATATTTATATGCCTTCCATCTATTTTTGGCTGTGTTACGAATTTTCATCTTTGGTATGTACTTGGAAATTTGATTCACGATCCTGCCCTTTGGTTTGTGCAATATGTGCATAGCATAGGCTTAACATGGAGGATGAAATTTTTATCTGCAAATTTGAATGGCTGTGGATGTGAATTTTGGAAAGAATAACTACTGATTGGCCACCAGAATGTTCTCCAAATGGTTAATTAGAGAACATATTTCTTTTATTAATCGGTACATCTGAAGCTTCTACACAAAACATTCTCCGAACTGTGTTTCTTGGGATGACGAACGTCTAGCTTCAGAAATGTTTCATGTATCATTACAAAGCATGGTTTTTCAATATGCAGACTTTTTTTCTTTTTTTTTTTCTTTTTTCCCTGCTCTCTCCCAATGGTAAGTCAAGGTGAAAAGATGGTGCTTGAGATTTGGGTTGGCAGATTTTAGCCCAAACGCTGACCAAATCTGTAACTATACTGTCCAAGCCCTAAAATTGTGGGCTGAACTCGGATGGCTCACGGTGGGCCTGCTGAAGTATTTGAGAGTGGAGGGGGAACAACTTTGTTCATCAGGTTGGCTCATAAGGTTTCATTTGTTCCCTTCATTTGGTAAGGTATACTAACTGTAAGTTTCTGAATAAATCTGTATATTTAATTGTGTGCTAATATAAAGAATATATCTGATTATATAATAAACCTAATCCTAAGACTAAAAAGGAAACATTGCCATATATATACACATAAAACACTGCTATAGTAAACCTAATCCTACGACTAAAAAGGAAATACTGCCATATATATACACCTATACAATCTCTTTGAAAATGAAACACTGCCATATATATAAACCTAACCTAATTTCTCACACCCTCGCTCAAACTCAAGATGTTGTAGCAGAAAACAGAGAGAGTTTGCCAAGAAGAAACTGAAACCGAGTAGTAATGTGAGTCTTGGTAAAAAAAAGTCAGCAATTTGCAGAGTCGAAGAGACGAAAAGAAGCAAGATAGAGCCAGACTGCAGATGCTGACGGACAAAGTGAAAATCAATCTCAATGTGCTTTGTTCGCTCATAGAAGATAATGTTATGGGCAATTTGAATAGCACTACGGTTATCACAATAGAGAGAGGTTGGAGAAGACTGAGGGACGTCCAAGTCAGAGAGAAGACAATGAAGCCAAACAACTTTAGCAGTAGCGTAAGCCATAGCACGGTACTAAGTTTCAGCAGTAGAACGAGCAACAACAGTTTGTTTCTTGTTTTTCAAAGAAATCAAGGAATCGCCAAAAAACATACAAAAATTAGAAGTAGACTTATGATCTGTAACATCACCAGCCTAATCAACATTAGCATAGGCAACTAAAGGCAAGGAAGAAGTAGAGGACAACAGCAATCCTTGGAAGATAGTACCGCGAAGATAGTGAAGAATTCGAACCAAAGCAGCCCAATGTGTAAAACAAGGAGCAGAAATGAACTCACTAACCACATGAACAGCATAGGCAAGATCAAGATGAGTAACTATTAGATCAGGACGAATAACTGTCAGATAAACTAAGCAACCCACGAGTTCTCGATATAAAGTAGGATCAAGCAGAGGAACACCATTATTAGTATTAAGTTTCACATTAAGCTAAATGGGGGTATCAGCAATCTTAGTGTCAGTAAGACCAGCATAGTGAATAACTTCATCAGCATACTTGGCCTGAAACAAAAAGCAGCCATTGGGAGAAGAAGCCACCTTAATACCAAAAAAGTATTGCAATGGGTCCAAATCCTTCATTTCGAAGGTGCGGAAGATATGCTGCTTGAACTCAGAGATAGCAGAAGAATCAGAACCAGTAATAATCATATCATCCATATATAGTAATAAGGCAACAAACCCAATAAAGGTGTGGAGAAGAAACAAAGTAGATTCTTGGGCAGAAGGATGAAACCCATGCTCAATAACAGTAGTCTGAAAGTGATCATACAAAGCAGGAGGAGATTGCTTCAAACCATATAGAACACGCTGAAGACGACAAACCTGTCTAGAGGAATGGTGAAGATCAGAGGGAGGACGCATGTAAACTTCCTTAGCGAGATGACCATTAAGAAAAATCTTCTTAACATCCATTTGATAAAGAGGCCAATGGCAAACAACAGCTACAGATATCAAAGTACGGACAATAGTCATCTTGGCAACAGGGGCAAAGGTCTCTTCATAATCAATACCATACTCTTGGGAAATATCCTTGGCAACCAGGCAAGCCTTGTAGCATTTAAAAGAACTATCAGAATGAGTCTTGACTTTGTAGACCCGTTTGCAACCAACCAGATTCTTACCAGCAAACAAATGAGCCAACTCCTAAGTACTGGTTTTCTGTAAAGCAAACAACTCATCCTCTATAGCTTGAATCCAATAAGGAT